TTTTTTGGGAATTTCAAGAAACGTACAATTTGATAATCGGGTTTTCCGCAATACGTTAAACAACAATACAGAATAGTTAAATCTACAGACATAAATTAACACTTCTAAATAAAATAAAAATGCATATAGCATATACAGTATATTCCACTGGGTATCATAATTTTCCACCCATAAAACTCTATAACGACCGTTATCGTAGGACAACATGCTGGGAACAGGGATCAGTGAGCGGGACAACATAAGCTATTGTTGCCTAACTAAGCAAAAATAAAATCAACTAAATAAAAAAAACGTAATCTACAGTAAGCTAAAGTCACTTAACTAAATATAATCTAAAACCAAAATAACAATAGTAAACATAACAATGAACTGGAAACTATACTGCAAACTGAAGTTAAATAAAAATAAGTTAAATAAACCTAATAAAGTAAACTAACGTAAAGTTTTTACGCATGTAAGTTGAAGGTGTGCCGGGCGCTTTGCGTCGCGAACTAAAGTAATCTAACTCCAGAACGGTAAGTTGGAGCCCACGTAATTTGAAGTAGACTACCACCTCAGCGCCATTTTTTTTTCCAGGAATATTAAGAAACCCAATAAATTATATATTAAAAAATTTCCAAATTTGGCACACCCAAAAATAAGAATTGTAAATAAACACATGTGTTTATTTATTGCGCGCTATTTTGTTGCAAAAACATAAGATTATTTAAACAATTTCTGGGACATAAAGTAGGATTCCATTGATGCCTCAATAAGAAGAAGTCACCGAACCTGATTCGCCCAGCTCGAGACAGTCATCGCAAACAGACAGATATCAGTGCCTACAGTGCCCATTTTTAAGCAAATCTTATTTTTCGGAAGAAACCACTTTTCAAGAACAAAACAATTTTGGAGAAGATCTATCACACACATGATACATTAAACACATCAAAGTAGTTTATGCATATTGTGTTGCTTCGTCCTGACAGAAGGTAATGAACGATTTCCGTAAATTTAAACAATTAACCAAACGAAATGGCCTTCCACACTACAAGCATCAACATTCTGGAGGAGACCTCCACCTTCTTCTCATCTTCACAGGGAATCAACCCAACAGTCTTGAGAAATGAGTAGTGAAAAAATAACCGAAAAAAGGATTTTTTAGCAACCCCTCTGTACGTTCTCACGCAGGCCTTCCTGTTGCTCCCACTTCCATCTATTTAACAGTAAAATAACTATTTGTCGCCTAATAACCCTAGACTCCTTACCTT